GCTCAGGCCGTGAACCTGACGGCCGAGATCAGTTCCTCTCTCAGCCACAATCGTTTGATTAGAAGTCGGACTCAAAATAGGCGCACCACTTAAACCATTCTATCCGAACCACATCACCATCTCGACGCATGGTAGACCGTGCTGGCACACCCACACACAACCGCACCAACAATGGCAATAGGTATGAAGCCATCGATGTAGAAAGTAAAGATGACGATTTACCAAAACAGCCGCCGTGTTAACTCTTAGTTAAACATGACCAACTATTCTTAATCAGCATCGTGTAATTTTATTGGAATCCACATCGGAAGATTAGTAATAAGCGCCATATTAAAGCCATGTACCACGACGGTAAAGATAAATTTATTGACGTATTACGCCTCAATGTACTACGACGGTATTTATAAAACTACTGCCGTATAGAGTAGTAGCGAACCATAACACTAGAAGAGATGTCTAAAGGCAAAAATATCCACGTCGTATTTTTACTATATCAAGATGTATTAAGTTTGTACACCATGACAGTCCATATAAGTTTGTACTAACCACATAGGTTTGTTCACTTATAGCGTCGTATAATATAATTTTACCACGTCATTAAGTGAAAAGTACCATCGTATTTATTCAATTTATACGACTGCCCTTATTTGTAAACCGTCGTCTTAATTTTGTATTGATTTTTAAGATTTTTTTTTTTTGAATTTTGGTAGCCTACGACGGTAGATCAACAAAATGACAAGAATTGATAAAAACCACGACGGTTTATATAGAAAACCGTCGTAACAGAGAAATGAAAATGAGATCCTAAGAGATACGAAATTTTGTTCCTCATCATAATCGAACCACCAATATGAGAAAGACAATATTTTAGACATTGGTGATGTATGTGTCTTTGAGATACACAAAGGCACATACACACCAAAATCCAAACTATTTGCCTCTAAACCAAACCCAGACCTTTAGAGATGTGAGAGAGAGCCAAGGCCTGAACTGACGACTGCAAGCTTTGAGAAAGACAATTTTTTGAAAGTTAATGATGTGTGTGTTTTTCTGTCTTTGAGATACACCAAAACATATACATCGTTAACATCCAAATTATTGCCTCCAGAGAGGTGAGAGATAGCCAAGGCCTGAAGTGAGGACGGCAGGCAAGAGTCTAAACTAAAAATTTGGCCTCCAAAGGCCAGAAGAATGCGACTTTATTTCAAGTTGGAACCCTAAGTGAAAACTGAAAGTGAAAAAACGCACGAAAAGCCCCAATTTAAACCAATTATCTTTACTAACCACGAAGGTCCCATTATAATTAGCGTCGTCTAATATTAAAAAATCCAAGGCGCTTATTTTTTATTAAGCGCCATATTAACTTAATATACCACGACATCAAAAGTAATAGCGTCGGGTTGTTTCTACTAACCACTTCGGTTTCTTTAGTTACAGCGTCGTTAATATTAATTTCCCACGTCGTTAAGTGAAAAATAATGTCATCTATTTTTTTTAATATGACTGTCCTTTTGGAATACCGTCATCTTAAATTTGTATAGCTTTTTTAGATTTAATTTCTGGATTTTGGTAGCCTATGACGGGAGATCAACAAAATGACTAGTATGGAGTAAAACCACGACGGTTTATATAGAAAACCGTCGTATGCGATATAATATTAGGCTTTTTTACTAAATGAAATCGTTATAGAAATGCAAATGAGATCCCAAGAGATATGAAATCTTACCAGTGGGAGCTATGTTCCTCATCACAATTGAACCACCAACATGAGAAAGACAATATTGTGGAAGTAGATGATGTGTGTGTCATCAATATTTTGGACCTTTAGAGAGGTTGAGACACACACACACACACACATCAAGGGCTTGTGCCAAGGGCTTGTGCAACTTGAGTTAGAGTTGGAACCCTAATAGAAAAGTAA